CCACCACACCTTCCGTCGCTGCGCCGGTCAACCATGGACAGCCTATATGAAACTTCCCCGCACTTTTCAACATGTGGGTCCCTTTTTGGCTACCGTCCACCAATTTTCATTGCGCAGTCCCTGGCGCCTTCTACTGTGCGGACAGCCGACGCCATGAATGGAACAAACGACGCTTATTGGGTTAAAATGGCAAATTCTGACAAAATCATAGCATGGGATCGCACGAGCTACAGGCAATCATCAACAAAGTCCGAGCTCGCTATGCAGAGAAGCGATAAAAAATCTGGAACAGAGGGGATCAGCAATTTCTTCCAAAGACTAAAAGAAGCAATTGCAAGGCCCGAAGGAGCATCGCCAATTACAAGAGTGGTACAAGAACACAAGTTTCGCTCTTCTGACAGAACAGTCATCTAAACATATCTAAACGAGCGATGAGAAGGTCATCTACGGCTTTTGCTGATACCTTTCCGACAGCCACGTTTACTCGCCTGCCTACCGTCTATGGTCGACGTGAGCGATGTTGTACCTTGGTCACGATAGCTTCTATGGTCTGTGATGAAAAAGGAGCCCTTTTACTAGACGAGCGCTTTCAGGAGTGAAATTGAGTGCTGAAAAATTCGGGAATTTTATAAGTTAGTATGTTGCTCTATCTGTGGGTGGAATGAGAAAATCTCATCTGCAGTTCGAAGTAATTTTTCTTCATAATGGCACAATTAACAAACCATTCCACATCTGTTGTAATATGACCTGCAGTGTGATTTTCCAGCTCGGAATTCTTGGAATTAGCAGTTTCAGTGAACATAGGAGACCACATGGGTTCGCATTTAAGTTCATAGCGGCAGGATCACTTGTTGCATAAAGAAAAACGAGGGTTGTCAACGGAAGATTGATCTGTGGAATACGGACGGCTATTGCTTACGACCAATCAATTCAAATGAAGGGTTCACCTAGAGCAATATCGGTACGGATGGGGCGCACCTGACAATTGAATTGCTGGAAACATAAATTCAGCGCGAATCCTTCACCCCCTTTGTGACTATCCTCTCTGGATCATCTTCAATGATCAATGTGATAACGTTTGAAACAAAGAAGTGCTAACGGCGTACGCTGTGACAGTTGCCCAGTCCTCCTTGACGAGCAGTTTTAAACTCTGCCATATTGAACATCCTGATACAAATGGGCATTTACGTGTTCCATAAATGTCATCAGACATTATAATTCGATTGGTCGGCACATGCTTCAGTGCTTGTCCCTGCTTACATTGAGTTGGGTTCGAGGGCTTCGTTTAAGTTCGATTAATATGTCCATATCATTTTGATCATTTTTATTCACTTTCCATTGGCTTAATGCAATTTTAAAGACTTTCTACGTCGACAAGTCCGGCTGCTACATTCTCTTCAATTCCGCAGTCGTTGATTCCACGAATAATGCGGAAGTATCCTGTAAAAAGGCTATCGATTTTTAAACAAGCTTTGTGATACTCAAAAAATGAACAAGTGTAGCATGTAATATTAGTCGGGCACTTATAGTGGAACACTCACCCTTTTCTCCCCAATCATCGTGCCAAGAATTAGCAATGAGCCAATATTCTGTGCCATTCTCCTTTCCCCATCCGATCATCTTCACCGCATGGTAACCTCGTAGCTCACCAGCTGTGTGCTATAATCATGTCTTGCTGGCATTCTATTTCTTTTTCGACTTAATCTGTGAAGATGGCACGAGTACACTTTCAATGAGTTTTATTTTCTTAAGGCATTAGTACTTGCATGTTATTGTTTGCAAATACTTAGTTGTCTGTGGTTAAGGAATCTTACCCTATAGATTCCTGAATTGTAGAGCGAGAAATCATCATAGACGGCAAAGGACGCAGTGACGGGACCATTTTTCATGAGTTCTTTTTGAATAGCTTTAACCGACTGTGGTAGCTCGAAGGCGTCTGTGCCTATAAATCCAGTTCAAGTAGAAACTGAGAAAAAATCGGCTAGGCACAATGGACAGGTATGGTAGCGACTACCTACTATGTCACCAACTGTACAGCTGGAAAGTACGAACTCGATGGATTAGTTTTGTTCTGCGACTAAATGTAATAGTTTACTCAAGACCAAGTACAATAAAGTCCCATTCTGCAATGGTTGAACTAGTGAACAATCCACTGGAGTTTGGCGTTGGGGAGTAGTGGTTTATTTTGTGCCTAACATCCGAGCCAAGGGGAACACTGTGTAGAGGGATTACACTAAACTCTTGACTACATATTGAAAAATTGAAAGTCATGCTATAGCGCTCAAAAGTATCCGATCAACTTTAACTTGCCGTAACTTTTTTCCCAGTAGAGCAGATCGCATGAAATTTTGATATGTTTGACTGAAGCATATTTCACACTATCCAACANTATTTGACTGCAAAGCAGCAATGTCCACATAACTAGGAGATGACGTTTGTAGACTATGCTGAAAGCAAGTTTGTGACGTCCGCAATTATTCGCACCTTATCTGCGTATTTCTCCTTTTCTGTGTTCGACATTAGCGCTCGTAACTTTGGACATGGCAAAAAGGAAAAAACTCCTAGAAGCACCAATGTCCCTATTTTCAGTTGGTTTTGATTTCAAGCTCTTTGAGATATTTGGAACATGATCAAAATTCAAGTTAGTAGTGGTAAATATTCACACTACGCCAATGCTAAACATATTGAAATTTCGCGTGATTAGATCCAGTAGGAAAGGAGCTACGACTGAAAATTATAACTGAAGAAGCACTTCGCCGAATACTTTTGAACGCTACTATATAGCGAAGATGTAAGACTACTAGCCACAAATTAACGTTGCGTCTTGTTGTATATTACTTGTTTATATTTTGATCCTGCACTTCCCAATACTGCTATGCGAGGAATTTTATGCTTACCGTATCGCTTATCCATCCTGTATATTCGCCTATAACCAGGTTGACATTTCTTTTTACATGGTGGAGTTGCCGCCTCTTCAGGGCATTCTCCGTAGTAGGTATCGTTTCCGTGATGTCCACATGGATGAAGCGGGTAAGGGCGGCAGCACCTCTATTGTCAACAATGTTGAGCCAGCAAGACACGATTATTCATCATTGATGTCGTAACGTTCTCACTTTACTACGGTACTCTCCTCCAGAAACAAGTCCTGCGTATGTGAAGTATTCCCATGCTTTGATAGACCAGCCTCCGTCACATCTAAACCAAGAAGTGATATCATAGATAAAAAGTGTCTAGTCAGTGCTAATGTTTTGTGAAGTTAAACCATGAAATCTTACCCAAAACCGCATGTTGGTGTACAGCATGTCACGAGATCAGTGGCGGATATATTCACCTTTAACTTAAGCTTACAAAACAACCATGCATCACAAGACAGATCATTCCTCACCTGCTTCCTAGCTTTGGTAGCAATGCAAATACGGTCCGAAATCGCAGCCGCTGTCGAAACGGCCCAGCATGAGCCTCAAAAACGAGATTGTTGTAGAGCTTTTACACTCAACAAGGCACCTCTTTCGGTTTCGGAATGAAACTGCTCACCGCAGTTTGCTTGATCACGGATATAGAACGAGGTGCAGTTGCTCCAGATTTTTCGAGGGTCGTATCTGTAAGTGCGGAGTATTCCCTCTTACTGTGTTGAGTGCAATGAAGATGAGGGGTGGTTTGAAAGTCTTACCTTCACTTCTCCTGAAGCTTATTCTCAAACTTCTTAATCATACTTACCTGATAACAAATTATCTAGTTCAACTAATGCTACGGTAAAGATGTCGGGGCAGTAGGCGTATATCTGGAACAGTTATATTCTCCTGCTGACATCAGCTTTAAGAAGATGAACGTGGACGTTTGTCCAAATGATCTACAGTAGGGCTAAAGATCTTCCACCAAAGCTTTTACGCCTTTTCTGGAGTAACTTTTTTGTTAGTAGAGCAAGCCGCGCGAAGTTTTGATATGTTCAACCAAATCATATTCCACACTATCCATCATTATTTGACTGCAAAGCAGCAATATCCACATGACAAAAGGGAAGGTGTTTGGTGCGGTCGCTAAAAGCAGACTTAGCGGCAACTGCAGTTATTCGCTCATGATGTGCGTTTCTCCTCGGCTGTATTCGACATTAGCGCTCGTGCACTTCAGACATGGCAAAAATCAAAGAAACCCTAGAAAGACCATCATCCGTATTTTCAGTTGATTCTGAGTTCAAGGTCTTTGGTATATCTGGAAGATGATTGGATCGCATGTTAACAATAGTGAATATTCATAATGCACCCTATCCAGTAGGGAAGGAGCTACTATTGAAAAGTGGGGCTAAAGAAGCATTTGGTCGACGATATTTGAGCGTTACTGTATCTAACAACTGCAATTGAGGAACATCGTGAAGTGCTCTACCATGTGGTATGTGCTCTACCACATAGTATGTGAACTAGGAAACAAGCATTTTTAAGCTCGACGATTGAGTGTTTCCGGGTGGATCGGCTCATGGTTTTTGTCAATTCCAAACATACTCGCGGATCACGCAGGTTCTTGTGCTTCTAGAAGAAGCCGTTGTCAGTATGCCGATCTTTGTTATCTTACAATAGATATTCGTCTACTTTCGTCTACTATTTATAGGGATCCCTCGAGGTTTAGGATCAAATAAGCTTTTTGCAACTGGTATCGAAATGAAGGAAGATGAGATGCTCCGCAGAGCCTCCAATATTTGCAGGTGCCAAGGCTTCACACCAGAGCCGTAATCGCTCTGCTCTTTCTTCCAAGTCCTGCATTACAAATTCATCACTTGCTCTATGGACCTATCAGTTATCAGTTTCTTGTCACCGTCTACGATCGCCTAACATCTCGATTCGTCCTGATGTGCTTGACCACCATCATCTTACTCAATTGTTGTCCCGTTGATCATTAGTTTCCTCAAGAGGGTACCAGTAACGTCTTCATTGGTCCTCGCAAGCCAGAGTGGTTCAGCGGACGATCCTCGCTCGGAGAACCGAGGCATGGCATTCCTTTCGATCAGAGTTTCAGTGAAAAAATCTGTCTATCGTAGGCGGCCGCACAGGTGTTCTTTTTGCGTCCCGAGGGTTGACCAGTGATCGCCGTGGCTCAACGGCCATCAAGATATCGCATACCCTGTCTGGCAACCCTGTCTTCGATTTCTTGGTGTAAGCAACGGCATCTTGCTTCGCTGATAGAGCTTGGAACTTCGCATTCTCTTCTGCGTTTGCGTCCACAAGGAAGTTCCAAACATCGTTCTTCCCAAAGCGTGTTGGATGACAATGACAGCATGCCAGCATGCCCATCCTCCTTGAATAGAATCCACGTCTTCGATGCGTACGTCAAAGCAGAAAGGACAGCAGTGTCAAAAAAGGGCGCGATACTGGATGCTCTTTGTCCTCGTCATTGCTCCCGATTTTCTCAAAAGCTCGCCACGCATTTTTTGTTGAGTTTTCGACCGAAATAATCGTAGCTAAACCACTTAGAGATATTCGTCCCGTTTTGCGTGAAGGGAAAATTAGGTGGCACTTCCGTTTCCCATAAACATAGTCTCCGTTGAATTCAGTTTCAAGCCGGCCTCTCCACAAGCGCTGTCGAATACGGCTAACATTCGTTCCGCATGTTCGTTGTTCCACGTCATAAGCGCGTCGTCTACGAGGGGTGAGTGATGTTACTTCACTCCCAAGTCTTTCCTTTCCAAATGACCCAAGATGCAAAATTGGGTTGGAGTAGCATTGCTCTGCCGAAAGCCTTAATTCAACTCGAAAATGATTCCCTCATATGGCGGAATACTGGTGAAGTTGTTGTAGAGTTCACGAAACATTCCTATAAATTGAGTAGAAACACCTTGGTTGCCTGGAGCTTCGATTACCGCTGCTGTCCTCACAGTATCGAAGGCTTTCTTCGAATCGAGGAACGTCCAACACGACTGCGCTTTGTGTCCGCGATGCTTCAGTGAGGCTCTGTTAGAGTGTGGATCTGATCGACCATACTTAGCCCTCTCCGAAACCCTATTTGCTCGCATGGCTGTCCTTCATCTAGTATTTTGCCGTGTTGAGAATGATGCGTGTGAAAACTCGTAGATACCAGACAGCAGACTGGGATCTCCCGTTTTGAATATCAACATAAACTTGCTTTTTAAGCGACTTGTGCATTCTGCACCCGATAGGTAAAGAGCCTAGCCGGAGCTTTGATGACAACTGGTGAAACACTCTTAGATGATCTGGTTTGATCCCATCGCCGTACATTTTTCAGCCGACTTGATGGCATGCCGAAATTCGGAAGGTGTAATTGAAGAAACAACATATCCGTGCTGTCTATCTAAGACGTCAGGTAAGCAGGTAGACGTGACTGTCGAAGAGATCCAAATAGAAATTGTAGGTGACCTTCTCCACTGCTCGACGAGTTGTTCGGTTGACGAAGAATGGGAATCATTTTAGTCTTGTAATTGATGAGAACTAGCTTCGGCGAGCTTCACAAATGCTCTTTCTGGCCTCGTCGGTTTAATCTATACTGCTCATATTCTCTCGTTCAGATCTCACTTATTCTCGCAAATTCGGACGTTTGGTGGTATTTGCCTATTGCTTGCGCAATTCCACTGGCCACCTTTCTGGAGAGAGAAGTCCCTTAGCTTCTTGTAGACTCTGTGCTTCCTCAGCATTATCGTGAAGATGGACAACGAACTGGTTGTATTCTTCATCAATGTTGTCGATGACTGAACCATTCCCGGAACTCGTAAGGGAATCGAAGTGAATAGACAGCAACGGCAATCAGGCAAGGCTCCCGATTGAAGATGAAGCAGTCTATTTCATTATGGAAATATCCACTTAATGACCCCTATGTCCACCATAAGTGAGCGGGCTTATGAAAGTGTAGATTAACATGGATGGCGTGGTTTGACATGATATACGCTGACCCTCTACCACACTACTGATTCCATACGTTCCGTGAGCCTCGACATGCAGCCCTTCAGCAGTTCTTCTGTGGCTATGTTTCCCGTTGAAATCGCCGACGATTACTTTAGAAAAAGTGTGGTTTTCATTGGATAGTGTTTCCAGGTTCACATGAAAGGCGTCCAGTTCCTCTCATTCGTAGTTTGAGGTTGGTGCGCAAACAGCGAAGATTGTTGGAACTGGAGTGGAGTCATATGCTCTCAATCACAAACGTCCGATTCGAGTTGTCGAGCTTTTGTACATATTCGTCTCAAGTGCGTATCAACAAGTCATCCATGCCGCCAAAGTCTTCAATATCGCATGTTCTAAGTATTAACAGTCCTTCTTTAATCTAAGAACAGGGTGCAGCGGCCATGTTTTCTCATCTCATCCAGTCCGATGAGTACCGAAACACACCACCGCAAACACACACCGATGCAAACCCACTCCAACACACGCACTGACCCACACATCAAAACACACCATTCACACACAGGCCCACACATACGCCGACATACACATGGACACCACATACTGACACACATGTATGCATCGACACAAACCGACACATACACCAGTCACACACCGAACACACATCAACACACACGCATCGGCACGCACATGCGCCGACGCACACACGGAGACCTACACCGACACGTGCCGACACACGCACTACACGCACATCAACACACATCGACACACATGCACGCACCAGCATCCTTCGACGTACACAACGCCGCACACCGCACGCACACTGATACACACGTTGACACACCCAGCACATAGACGCTACACACACGCGACACACAGACGAAAGCAAACATCGAAATACACACCGAAGCCTCCACCGACACTCACACCACACACACCGACACGCACACAGACACAGACACACAGACACGCAGACACACCGACTCACACCACAGACGTACACACAACGACGCCCCCACACTCAGCACTCACATATACACTTACACACACCGATACACACATCGGCACACAACGACACCTTCACACTGAGCACACACATGCACACTGACACACACCGTCACACACATCGACACACAACGACACCTTTACACTGAGCACACACATGCACACCGACACACACAGACACAAGCAAACATCGACACACGCACCGATACACACCGACACTTAAAGGCACGGTTCACGATAAAAATGGTTTCGGAGATTTGCACATGGTATGAATTCGGGGCCCCTCTGATACCATCTGTGCCGAAATGAGGTCGAACGGTCTGGATAGGGCACAATAAGGGGCCGAAGAGTGAGCCAAGGTCAACCTCCACCCCTCGCTAGGCTAACTTCGAAATCTAATTGTCG